AAAAAAGTCTTCCCAAATAAAAAAATTTCTCCTTGTCAGTAAAAAGCGGGACAAATATTTTAATGTTAGATGCATTTTTTTTTTTGTCCAAACCTGTGGATAGCTGGCCGTCTTCAACTGGCACCATCGCAGTAGCGCATTTTTTATCTCCGCCGGTGGCTTGCGTTCCAGTTGATGAGTGAAAGGTGAATGAGAGAGCTTCAAAAAAGGCAATTTAAAAAAGGCATTAAAAACTACAGTCTTTTGCAATTAACATCCCAAAAATTACACAATAATAATAAAAATTGACATTTGACAGATACTACTGAAATGCATAAGTAGTTTAAACAATTCTGTAGGTGATGTGCCAGTAAAATAAAAATTAAAGCACACCTAAATATTTAGATGGTGTGAATTTTTTTGGTTCACTTTCGAGTGCATTTAATTCCCTTGAGACGATTTTTTTGGCTACAGTCTATCCTGTTTTAGGGAACGGAATTATGCACTCCACGCCATTTCGTTGAGGCAGTAAATAAGCGCAGTCAGCATTGAGGCGGTGGAAGTAAAGTTTAGTGCTTTGTGTCTGTGATACTTTAAACGTAAAAAATGTCCTGCAACTTCTTTGCCAGTGAATTTTATTTAGTAATCATCCCTCAAGTGGACGAAACAAACTGCAGTGGAGTCTCGCGATCTGTAGAAAGGGTGCCCCAATCAACTGCTGTCTTGTAGTCTTTTTCTCCTCCTCCTCCCCTTCCTCTTTTTTATCTATTTTTTATTCCTCCAAGGAGTGAGTCCAAAGTACAGGGAGCGGTGAAGTCGGCCACGTGGATGTGGGAGGTTTCTGTTACTGCCTATGCCCCAACAACTCCACGGAAACGTGTTCACCGCCCAAAGGTCAAAACACCTTCCAAATGACCCAAAACTCCCGAAGGAAAGTTGTAAGTCATGCTTGTCGTGAATACAGTGCCAATCAGGTCTCATCTTCGTTATTTACCTTGATCGTTGTCACATCTCAATTGACACTTCACATCACGGGATGCTCTTTATGGTGCGATAAAGCAGAAGGCACTGTCCTATATCCGCCTTTAATTTTCTCGAAGTTTTTCATCTTTCATCACCAACTGCCATCTCACTCGGTCATAACGGATGTGACTTACAACAATTTTCACTGACTTCTTAAGGCAGATCTGTTGATCGCCAT